ACCTGCTACTGTCTTTCATGTACAGCATGTTACATTTGTCCTGTTTCTACCTGCTACTGTCTTTCATGTATAGCATGTTGTGCTGCTCCTGTTTCTGCCTACTACTGTTTCACTTGTCTGCTACTGTTCATTCCTGTATCGCACGCTTTACATTTTTATAACTTTAAACATGTTTACCCTTTTTACATAGAATGTTTAGAGGACTACAACCATAGGGCTGTTTGATTTGATACTATAACCGGACACTCTAAAAAACTTAAACTCGTCACATCGAGGAGTTTGGAGCTAGCACTGTGGGCAGCACGACCATCTTCAACAGCAGAACATGTCTTCCCCAACAAAACCATTCTCTTTCCTAGAAATTAAACAACAATCCATAGGTTTTCGAGGTTGTTTGCCTAGCGCAACATAAATCCTCCGCCTTTTCTTTAGGCATTCGTATAGCTCTGCCGTACGGTTTAAGCCCTAAACTCGTTCTAGGTTCCGAGGTTGTCGTCCGGTACGACGTAAACCCTCATATCTTCTAGGCAATTTGTGTGACCCTGTCACGCAAATATAAGCCCTAATTAAATAAAATTGGCAGGATAAAACACTTTAATATTTTCTTCCTAAAATTGGAGCCAAACCATAGGATAGACTGGGAACCTACTGAGGTTCGCCTCAGGATCTGTGGCTTCCCCTAGTTTCTCTTCATTTGGATTCCTCAACAATGTTCCAGATTTGAGCTTTTCCCCCTTCACACCTCTTTTCCCCTAGTTTCTCTTCATTTGAATTCCTTAACAATGTTCCAGATTTGAGTTTTTCCCCCTTTACACCTCGTCGTCCGATTTCGTTGTAAAGACCTATCCCTTTTGACCTCTTTGAAGACATTATTCCCTGATTTTTATCGAGAGTTTTCTTAGGTGACTTCGGTCATTTAAGATGTAATTAACTATAGGGGCTTGCCCTTATAGGAAGCTTTTCCGAACCCAGCTTAAAATAAACCCTATTTAACCATTCGTATTAAATAGGGGAACTTGTCGGCAAATAAAACGGTTTCGCAGACCCAAACGGATGTCATATATTTTCCTAGTTTATTTGATTGAGCCTCATCCTCAAGTCTTGTGTTTATCCCTCGGGATAGATACAGGATTTGAGGTAGAGCGCTCTTTTATTTAAACTGTAAAAAATATGAGGTCAGTTTGATTTCATATTTTTCTAAAATTATATATATACACGTAAATTAAAAAGTCCTTCCGAAGCGGGTGACGGGATTTCGATTCCGGCGACCGACAGCTTCTTACGGGCGACCCCCCCAAACAATCTCTTCCTTTCTTACTTTTTAGTGCCGACATGGGTATAAACAAGGCGTAAAATATTTAGGATTAGGTTATGCTATGATGAGATTGTTATCTTGAGTCATAGTGCTGGTGTTTTCAGAGAGATCGCCTACCTTTCAAATTATAGTTACTATCTTTTATGCATTAGATTATGTTGTTAGGTGTTGTTGAAATAAAATATTTGATTGCCCTAATTTCATTGAAAAAGAAAAATTATCCTGTTCGTATCACATATCCGTAACAAATACCTATAACTTCATGTACTGCTTTGACCTACATAAAGGATAGGGATGGGCATGAGCTTCCTTCACTTTGCATCCTATTACGTTGTGTCTGAACTTGTATTTTTATTTTTATTTTCTTCAGTTTCAAAGATATTATTCTCTGGATCTTTTACTCTGCTCTCATTGATTCCTCTAGTCCACTCGAATCATTACTGAGAGCTGCACCTTTGCCTGGCAAGAAAAACTATTTTCTGTTTCGATTTTGTTTTGGCAATTATGATTTATTCATCTGTTGAACTCTTTGGAATACCACTATATCAGTACTCCATAATGAAAATTTGTTATACTTTGTTAATGCGTATATTTTTTTTCTTATTACCGTCAAAAACTAGAGACCGCTTTTAATAACAGGAATATTCAATGTCCCATTCTTTTGGTTGTATAGTTTCTTGTGATATGGTCTGCAATTTCCTGTGTTAGTTTAAAGCAAATAGTTCCTGGCATTCAATAGTATGAGTTTATATGAATCTAAGTATTCTTAAATTAAACAAAAGTTTTGTTTGCAACTTGTATTCCTCCCAGAAATTCAAGCATCACCCTTCCATCAAATCACTTTTGGAAGGAGGAACTGTTCTTCAGTATGGTGCCCGCACTCTAAATGAAGGTGGTTTTCAGGTAACTATAAATATTTGTTGTTGATTTTTGAGATACAAAAGTCATGGAACTTCTTGGAGATTCAAGTAATTGGTTCTCTGATTTGAAAGTTACTATGCTCCTATCCTAGTGGGTGGAGACTAACTACAAACAAGCTTATGGTTTGGCTCTTGTTCCAAGAAAACATAAAAAATAAAGAATTTAAATTTGACCTTTTTTTTATTCATAACGAAAACGATTCTGTAAAATAAGCTTGTCTATATTCCAAGAAAACATAAAAAATAAGGAATTTAAATTTGACCTTTTTTTTATTCATAACTAAAACGATTCTGTAAAATAAGCTTGCTATATTGGAGATTGACATTGAGAACAGGCAAAGTGACCTTATTATCTTAGGATGTCTCATTATGAATCATCTTATAAGTTCTTGTGAATGCACGAGTTGAATTTTGTCTTGTCTGTGTGCGAGTCTTCATCTTATCTTCATACCTTTTAGGCTTAACTCTTTTGGATATAACAAAGACGGCATTTCTCCTCCGTACATTAGTATCTTGTAGCAACTCTTTTGAAAATTGTTTAAATATATGTAATTTAGATAATCATTGGTTTATGTTGAGATTTTTCTTTAAAACTTAAATTGAATAGTGCAAATTGTGAATTTCAGTCCATTCCATATCCTGTTTTTCCTGGAGGTGCTATTATTGGTTGCTCTGCAGGCTTCATAAACGTGCCTAAGATAAAGGGTACACATACAGCCATGAAATCAGGTTTCCAACTTATTTCTATTTTGTATACTCTTTGAAAATCTATTTGGCTGAATGCCTTGATGATATGCGTTTATGTTACTCATAGTTTATCTGAAATTTATTAGAACATATCAAAGCCACTCAGCTTTTTGTGAACTACATATTTCTAAAGTTTGCAACTGCGGATTTCTGAATGTCAATGGCAACATTTCTCCAGGAATGCTGGCAGCAGAAGCAGGATTTAATGTCCTTGTTGAAGATTCTCAAATGGAAACATACTGGGACAGTTTGAAGAAGTCCTGGATATGGGAAGAGCTTTACAGAGCTCGAAATTATCGCCCGGTAAAAATCCTTCCATTACTAGCAATGAACCTTATTGCAGTTTTTAACGATTAATCTAGAATTTAGCATCCTGATAGAAAAATTAAGAGTTCTGCATTTTGATGAATATTGATCTGTATTTTTTATGAATCCTGTCCAATTCATTTCTCCAGGCATTTGAATATGGTTTAGTTTCTGGTTTAGCCTTCTCTGCTTTGGAGCGGTAAGATCAAACGTTCTAATGTACCGGGCACCACATTATGTTCATTTAATGGCTGAAACTGTTTCTCTCTTATAAGGTATATATTCAGGGGAAACTTGCCTTTGACATTAAAGCATGGAAAACCTGATCATGAAGCAACAGAAGTGAGTCCAACTATTTCATTTTCTCACTGATTAATGATGCAAACTATGAACAAGTGAGTAATTTTTTAGAATGTCAGATATCTAACTGGGCGTGTTTCACATATAGATCACAAGTCTTCACACACCCATCCCATATCCGAAGTCAGATGGAGTGCTATCTTTTGACGTGCCAACATCTCTGTACAGGTTAACATTGAACTCCCATCGAAATTCATGAACAGTTTTATTAATTGATTTTTTGTGTTTTTTTTTTTGGTCTTCAAGAAATCTGACATGTTCATATACCTAACATTTATTTGAAGTTTGATTTGTACATTTATTTGACTTCTATAATTGTTCCTCTTTTTCTTTGCTGGAATATATCAGCTGTCAGCTTTTAAACTTTATAATCTGCCGTGGTAAAATGGTTAAATTCTGTTTGATTTCTTCAGGCTTAATTGGGAATCTTTCATTTTGAATCTTGTTGTAGCCTCAATTTTGTCAGTCTTCTAAAGTAGAGCCTCACCTCACTATTCTCTCTTCTTCCGAATTGGGGATTATTATATTTAAAAAAGTGATGCAACACATGATGCTGGGGCGCAGGAGCACCAGGTGTGGGAGTGCATATGCCTGGCCCAGAGGCACCATGACCTTGCAGCACTGCGAATGACGCACGACTGGCTCTGCCAGATGGGGGAGAGATCGGGCGACTTATGTGCACGGTTAACTCTTATTTGGAGTGGGACCTTCTCAACCTTAAGACTATATTTATGTTATTTGTTGTGTGTTAGGTAGATTTTTATTTCCTATTTCTGTAGTTGGTTTCTTTCTCCATTGCTAGAGCTATATCTGAGGTTAGGTGGTGCTCCGGTTGTATCGTACTCCAAAGTGGTGATTTTCTCCTCATATTCTTCCCTTTTCCACTTCCCCTTGCTTGCTGCTGCACCTTCCAACTGTTGTTGCTTTATGCCGCACCATCCCGCAAACCCCTACTTACCGTCTAGATGCAACAATCATATTTCAGCTTGCTGGCGCACCCTCCACAACCTTCTGCTTGCTGTCTAGCCACAAAACCACCTACCCCTCGTTGTTGTTAAGCCTCTCTACCACCTCTTGCTCTCTGTTTTCACTACTTTTACATGCAACCCACCATCGTCGATCCTCGCCTTAGTTCTTTTGTGTTTGTGTAGTTTATTTCCTATTTCAAATATTTTTGTTTGTAATCCCCTTTGAATTTCAACAATAATTTTTTCATTCCTTTGTGATTTTGGGTTAACTCCGCTAGATTAGGCTAACCTAACCCTAATCTTATCATAGGGTTTATAGCCTTCTTACACATCTCCTCCCCAAAGTTTTTCTTTCCTATCCTAAATACCCTCTTCCACTTTCACAAATCCAAACCCTAAACATGCCACTAAGGAGACACACATCGAAACCTATCCGAGACGAGATGTAGTGAGAGATCCATCGGCTGTAGTAGGGGCTTGTGGAAATTATCCTCGATTGTGATATAAAGTGTCATAGGATAGAAAGGGACAAATTTGAATCCTTTCCTTAAAGAGCACTTCAGTGGTGAGGACAAACCATGATGCTTCGGAATTCATTATTCGGGTGATTGAGAGAGGAGGCGATTTATATAGAGGATATAGAGATGTAAAAGTACAAGTGGATCTTTTAGAGTTTGATAGAGGGATGGATATAAATGATTTCATTGAATGGTTGCAGTCGATCAAGAGAATCTTCGAGTATAAAGAGGTGCTAGAAAATAAGAGGGTGAAGCTTGTTGTCATCAAATTGAAAAAGAGTGCTTCCTTGTGCTAAGAAAATTGCAAAGGTAGAGAAAGAGAGAAGGAAGTGAAAAAATTACTAGATGAGAGAAAATGAGAAATAAGATGCAGAGAAAAGACTTACCTCCTCACTATCATCAGCGTATATTTCTGAAGCTACATCACCTACAACAGAGAGTCCAATCAGTGGAGGGGTTCACAACACAAATTGACCAACTACAGATAAAATATGAGTTGGTTGAGCCTGAGGAACATACTATAAGATGATATCTAAGGGACATGAAGTCCGCTATCAAAAACGTTATGCAATCGCTGCCTTATCAGTCACTGGGAGATGTCTAGACCTTGTTTTGAAGGGGGAAGGACAGTAAAGAAAAAGCAGACAACCACCCTCATTCAGACTATACCACCTATAGCTGCTGCTACCAATAAAGATACATTTAGAGGAGTTGCGAAGACCGAAAAGGAAAGGGACAAGACAAATTTGAGTGGAAAAAACCCTAGAAGAGTAATTAACCTAGTAAAGTGTCTGTCAAGAGATGCTTTAGGTGCCACGACTGTGGACACATAACCTCCTACTGCCCCACGAGCCAAGTTGTTTCATTCACTGAGCCAGGTGTTGTCGAGGAAGTGAGGAGGAAACATATGACCAGGACGAGGAACGTCAACTCCAGGGAGATGATGGAAAAATGCTAGTCATTAGGAGGGTCCTACAGCTTGAGTCAAAGAAAGATCATTCATTGCTAAGGCATGGTATTTTCTGCACTAGTTGTACCATGAAGGAAAATGTTTGCATCGTGATTATTGATGGTGAGGTTGTGAGAATCTAAAATTTTCTCTAATGCTGAAGATATTGGGGCTGGCTAAGTAAAAACATCCTCAATCCTAGTCCCTTATTTGGTTGAAAGGGGAAATCAGATACATGTGGATCAACAATGTTTGGTTTTGTTCTTCATTGGAGATCAACTACAGGAGCAGATGTAGTGCGACATGGTACATGGGAACTTATGTCATATTTTGTTGGGGAGACCATGACAGTGTAACCATATGGCCTAATACAACGAGTTCAAGAACACTTATTCATTTGAGAAGGATGTAAGTTGCATGGTTCTTTTGTCCTTCATGAGAGGAGTAGAAACATAAGGGAGATGGTAGTCCCACGAGCCACTTTTATGCAATTGATATGAGGCTCTAATGACAATAGTTTAGTCATGTTAGAGGGAGCCAATGATGAGGTTGAGATACCATAGAGCCAATGCTATGTTACTTTCTGGACATGATGATTGACGGTCTTTCAGAGGGTTTGCCACCATTGAGGGACATTCAACATGCCATAGATCTCATCATTAGATCAATGTTGCCAAACAGGTCTGCCTACATGTTGAGAACTACAGAGTATGAAGAATTACAACGATAGGTATAAGAACTTGTTGTGAGAGGTTTGGTCAAAGATAGTATGGCCCGTCTGCCTGTACCTGCCTTGATGGCATCTAAGAAGAACATATCGTGGAGGATGTGCATTGATAGCAGTACCATTAACAAAATCACTATCAAATATGGGGTCCCCATACCTCATCTAAACGACCTCTTGGATCTGTTGCATGGAATCATTATCTTTTCTAAGATTGATTTACGCAGTGAATATCATTAAATTCGGATGAAACCTTAGGATGAGTGGGAGACTACTTTTAAAACCATAACAACTCCCTCGACAAAAGTTTTGAAAAAGAAGTTCTAGTGGATGAATGCAGCTCGGTCCAGTCTCAATACACTGAAGGAGATGGTGACTTAGGCACCAATATTGGCATTATCGAACATCAATTAATTGTTTGAGATGGAGTGTGATGCCTCAAATATGGGAATCAGAGCAGTACTGAGACGGGGAAGGCCAATATATGACGTTCTTCAGTGAGAAGTTTAAGTAGTCCAAGAGAAAATATTCGACGTACGGCAAAGAGCTCTATGGGATCGTAAGAGTTCTTAATTACTGAAGTCACTACCTGCTGTTGAGCGAGTTCACCTTATTTACGAATCATGAGACTTTGAAGTTCTTCAACAGCCAGAACAAACTGAAGGGTTCATATGTGTCTTGGGTAGAATTATTAGCATTGTTTTAGTTTGTGCTTAAGCACAAAGGCGGAAGTCATAATCAAGTAGCATATGCACTGAGCGGCTGTCATTTGATGATCATTTCTATGCAAACTCAAGACACAGGCTTTCAGGGAGTGGAGTTGTACGAGACAGCTGAAGATTTCATAGAGAACTGGGAGCTATGTCAGAAGAAGCTTATTGAGCAACATCGTAGGTCTAATGATTATCTATTTCGCCAGAATAGGATATGTTATCCTTGATGCTTGCCTAGAGAGTCCATTATTCAGTAATGTCACATTGGATGACTTGTAGGATATTTTGGCACAGATAAGGCTCTTGCACTTATGTGAGAACACTTCTTTGGCCCCGACTGACGAAAAATGTTGAGCGGCTTGTCAAATAATGTAGAACTTGTCATGTGCCAAAACCAGACAGAAAATGCAAGACTAAACACTCTATTACTAGTACCAAAGGCCTGTGGGTGAATGTTAACATGAATTTTTTAGTGGTTCTTCTAAGGTTACAGTAGAACAAGGATTTTGTGATGGTTGTCACCGGATGCTGTTTACATGATTGTACTTTATGAAGGTCATGAGATTGCTTGGGATACCCATGACCATTACTTTCAAAAAAGATATCAAGTTTCTAAGTCACTTGTTGAGGACCCTATGGGGGAAGCTTGACACTAAGGTTCAATTCAGCTCAGCGGCCTATCCATGGACGGACTGGCAGATGGAGGTGGTGAATAGGAGGGGGAAACTTTCTGAGGTGTCGTGTAAAAAAAATATTAAGCAGTGGGGCATGATTCTTGCCCAAGTTGAAGCACTTACAATAGATACATTATTCAAACCACTAGTTGCATCCCATTTGAGATCGTGTATGGGCATAATCCTTAAACACCACTTGAATTGGTGATACTGGAACTAGTAGGAAAAACAATGAAATACTCAAAATAAACTTTTATTAACGTAGAGAGCTTTTAAATACAACATAAAAAAAAATAACAACACAGCATAAACGATATAGGCAAACACCTTTACGATGTATTCCAAGGGCGGTGGAGGTTGGCTAGGTAGGTAATTCAGGATGGTTGGCAAGTGTGGTGGCAGCAAGGGAGTGCTGATGGCAGTGAGGGGAATGTGTAGAATTGCGATGACAGTAAGTATGGAGGGTCATAAGTGACCGATGGCAGGCGGATTGGCGGATGAAAGGTGTTGGACATGAAAGACAACAAAAATAGGGTGAGGAGCAGTCGATTAGTAGTGCTGGGAAGGATGGAGGAGGACTGAATTGGTAAAGCTAGAGGTATGGGCTGGTTGGTTGCAGGAA